AGATCAAGACCATACTGGCTAACACAGTGAAACCCTGTCTCTACTAAAAAATACAAAAACCTAGCCAGGCGAGGTGGCGGGCGCCTGTAGTCCCAGCTACTCGGGAGGCTGAGGCAGGAGAATGGCGTAAACCCGGGAGGCGGAGCTTGCAGTGAGCCGAGATCTGGCCACTGCACTCCATCCTGGGCGACAGAGCGAGACTCCGTCTCAAAAAAAAAAAAAAAAAAAAAAAAAAGAAAAGGTAAAGAAATTTGACTAAAACAATTTGAAGGAAAAACAAAAGAGCAAAGTGGGAGGAATCAGTCTACCTGATTTTAAGGCTTAGCTACAGCAATCAAGTCTGCGTGGTACTGCAGAGAGATAGACACAGAAATCAATGGAAAGAAGAGAGAACCCAGAAACAGACCCACACAAATATGCCCCACTGACAAGGCACGCAAGCAGTTCATCTCAATGGAGGAAAGATGGCCTTTTCAACAAATGATGCTGGAGCAAATGGATATCCCTTAGGGAAGAAAACCACAAAACCTCGACCTAAGTCTCACACTTTATACAAAAATTAACTCAAAATGAGTCGCAGACTTATAAAACATAAAACTATAAAACTTAAAGGAAAAAAATAAGAGAAAATCTTTATAATCTTCTAAGAACACTTTTTTTTTTTTTTTTTTTGAGACGGAATCTCGCTCTGTCGCCCAGGCTGGAGTGCAGTGGTGCAATCTCAGCTCACTGCAAGCTCCGCTTCCCAGGTTCACACCATTCTCCTCCCTCAGCCTCCAGTAGTAGCTGGGACTACAGGCTCCCGCCACCACACCCGGCTAATTTTTTGTATTTTTAGTAGAGACTGGGTTTCACAGTGTTAGCCAGGATGGTCTCAGTCTCCTGACCTCGTGATCTGCCCGCCTCGGCCTCCCAAAGTGCTGGGATTACAGGTATGAGCCACCGCACCCGGCCCTGAGAATTCTTTAAGAGTTTTTTTTTTGTTTGTTTATTTTGTTTTCTTTTTCTGAGATGAAGTCTCACTCTGTCACCCAGGCTGGAACGCAATGGCATGATCTAGGCTCACTGCAACTTCTGCCCTCCGAGTTCAAGTGATTCTCCTGCCTCAGCCTCCTGAGTAGCTGGGATTACAGGCGTCTGCCACTGTGCCCGGCTAATTTTTTTTTTTTTTTTTTTTTTGTAGTTTTAGTAGAGACGGGAGTTTCACCATCTCGGCCAGGCTGGTCTTGAACTCCTGACCTCGTGATCCACCCACCTTAGCCTCCCAAAAAGCTGCGATTATAGGCGTGAGCCACCGTGCCCAGAACTCTTTAAGAATTATTAGACTTGATACCACAAACATGATCCATAATAGAAAATGTTGATAAATTGTACTTCATCAAAATATAAAACTTGCTCTGCAAAAGACCTGTTAAGGCAATGAAAAGACAAGCTGCAGACTGGGAGAAAATATTTACAAGCCACATATCTAACAAAGGACTAGTATTTAGAAGCTATAAAGAACTTTAAAATTCAACAGTCAAAAGAACAATCCAATTTTAAAATGGGTAAGAAATATAGATAGTTGACTGAAAAGATGGCAAATAAATACATGAAAAAAATGTTCAATAGCATTAGCCATCAGAGAAATGCAAATTAAAACCACAATGAGATGGTACTACACATCTATCAGAATGGCTGAAATAAAAAATAGTCACAACACCAAATGCTAGCAAAGTTGCAGAAAAACTAGATCACTCATATGTTTACATCAGTGTACATTTAAAATAGTACAGCCGCTCTGGAAAAATTTGGCAGGTTTGTTTCTGGGTTTTTGTCTGCTTGTTTTGGGGTTTTGGGGTTCATTTTTTTGTTTTGTTTTGTTTTTTGAGACAGGATCTCACTCTGTAGCCCAGGCTGAGTGCAGTGGCAAAATCACAGCTCACTGCAGCCTCAACCTCCCAGATTAAAGGGATCTTTCCTTCTGCCTCAGCCTCCCGAGTCGTGGGACCACAGGTGCATGCCACCACACCTAGCTAATTTTCTGTATTTTTTGTAGAGACAGTCTCCCCGTGTTGTGCAGGCTGGTCTTGAACTCCTGGGCTCAAGCAATCCACCCCCCTCAGCCTCCCAAAATGATGGGATTGTAAGTGTGAGCCACCACATCCAGCCAGCAGTTTCTCAGAAAATTAAACCTGTGACTACCCTATGACCCACCATTTGTACTGCTGTGTATCGATCCCAGAAAAATGAAAACTTACGGACACACGAAAACCTGTTCGTGAATGTTCATGGCAGCTTTTATTTATTTATTTATTGAGATGGAGTCTCACTCTGTCACCCAAGCTGGAGTGCAGTGGCACAAACTCGGCTCACTGCAACCTCCGCCTCTTGGGTTCAAGCGATTTTCCTGCTCAACCACTCGAGTAGCTGGGATTACAGACGTGCACCACCACGCCCAGCTAATTTTTGTATTTTTAGTAGAGACGGAGTTTCACCATGTTGGCCAGGCTGGTCTCAAACTCCTGATCTCAGGTGATCTGCCCACCTCGGCCTCCCAAAGTGCTGGGATTACAGGCGTGAGCCCCTGCACCCAGCCCATGGCAGCTTTTAATAGCCAAAAACTGAAAATAACCCAGCTGTTCTTCAACAGGTGAATGGTTAAACATGCTGTAGGGGGCCGGCCGTGGTGGCTCATGCCTGTAATCCCAGCACTTTGGGAGGCTGAGGCAAGATGGCTTGAGACCAGGAGTTCAAGACCAGCCTGGGCAACATAGTGAGACCGTGAGACCTTGTCTCTACTAAAAATAAAAAAGAATTAGCCAAGTGTGGTAGAGTGCACCTGTTGACTGAGCTACTTGGGAGGATGAACTGGGAAGATTGTTTGAGCCAGGAGGTCGAGGCTGTAGTGAGCAATAATCCTGCCACTGCACTCATCCTGGGCAACAGAGCAAGACCCTGTCTCAATAAATAAATAATAAATAAACATGCTGTGGTACAGCCATACCATGGTATGCTACTCAGAAATAAAAAGGAATTAACTATTGATACATGCAACAAACAACCTGGATGAATATCCAGAGAATTATGCTGAGTGGAAAAAGCCAGTCCCCAAAAGTTATATACCATGTGATTCATATAGTATACTCTTGAACTGACAAAATTACAAAATGGTGAATGTATGTGTGGTTACTAGAGGTTAAGGAGCCAGTGAAGGCAAATGTGAGTAGGTGTGGCTATAAGAGGATGACATGAGGGATCCTTGTAGGGACAGAAATATTCTGTGTCTCGACTGTATCAAGGTCAATATCCAGACCGTGAAATTATTCTACAGTTTTGTAAGATGTTGCCATTGGGGAAAACTGGACCATGGGTACATGGGATCTCTTTGTATTATTTCTTAAAGTTGCATGGGAATCTATAATTATCTAAAAATAAAAAGTTTGGCTGGGCATGGTGGCTCATGCCTATAATCCTAGCACTTTGGGAGGCCAAGGCAGGTGGATCACAAGGTCAGGAGTTCGAGACCAGCCTGGCCAACATGGTGAAACCCGTCTTCACTAAAAACACAAAAATTAGCCGGGTGTGGTGGCAGGTACCTGTAATCCCAGCTACTTGGGAGGCTGAGCAGGAGAATTGCTTGAACCGAGGAGGCAGAGGTTGCAATGAGCCAAGATTGTGCCACTGCACTCCAGCCTGGGTGACAGAGTGAGACTCCATCTCAAAGTAAATAAATGAAATAAAAAGTTTAATATAAAATATACAGTAGGCCAGCCATGGTGGCTTATGCCTGTAATCCCAGCATTTTGGGAGGCTGAGGTGGGAGGACCACTTGAGCCCAGGAGATAAAGACCAGCCTGGGCAACATAGTGAGACCGCCATCTCTACAAAAATAAAAATAAAAAATAAAAAAGATTGCTTAAGCCCAGGACGTTGAGGCTGCAGTGAGCTGTCATCACACCACTGCTCTCTAGCCTGGGTGACAGAGAATGACTCTGTTTCTAAAACAAAAAAATAAAAGAAAAAAGATTGGGAGGCTGAGGCAGGAGGGTCACTTGAGGTTAGAAGTTTGAGGCCAGCCTGGCCAACATGATGAAACCCCGTCTCTACTAAAAATACAAAAATATTAGCTGGGTATGGTGGGACGTGCCTGTAATCCCAGCTACTAGGGAGGCTGAGACAGGAGAATTGCTTGCACCCAGGAGGCGGAGGTTGCAGTGAGCCGAGATTGAGTCACTGCACTTCAGCCTGGGCGACAGAGCGAGACTCTGTCTCAGAAAAGAAAAGAAAAGAAAAGAAAAGAAAAGAAAAGAAAAGAAAAGAAAAGAAAAGAAAAGAAAAGAAGTAGGCCAGGCACTGTGGCTCACGCCTGTAATCCCAGCACTTTGGGAGGCTGAGGTGGGCGGATCACTTGAGGCCAGGAATTTGAGACCAGCCTGGCCAACATGGTGAAACCCCATCTCTACTGAAACATGAAAACAAAAAACAAAAATTAGCTGGGCATGGTGGTACACACATGTTTGCCCAACAAAGAGTTGGGGTACACAGTCTGACCACAGAACAGATTATATGAAGATGGTACTCTCCTGCCTTCTAACTCCTTTGCTAGCCCCAATCATTCCTATTTTTTCAGGACCTGGCCCCCAATAGCATGGATTTAGAGGCCCCTGGTTTACGCTCTTTCTCTCCAGGCACCTCTAAGTGTGGTCCTAGGGTTATTCTATCACAATCACACAGGATGTTTGTTTCAGTGCATCTTCTTGGGCCCAAAAGTTGGAACTTTAATTTGCCCCAAGGGAATTTTAATGTACACTTAAGTTTCACCATCAATAGTGCCCGACTTTGTCCGAAGTCAGGATTTTCTGGGAGGCACAAGGAGTTCCCACACTGGAATGTTCTCTCAAAGGATTTTCTGAAAGGAAGAGACTGAGTGGGGCCTGGTGCCAGCCCTGGGTCCTGCTCCAGTGAGGACACAGACTGCCCACTCCCCCCATACCGCGCCCCTGCTGCCACTGGCTCACCGCAGTGTTTGGCTCGATGAGGCGGTGCTGCAGTTTCTGGGCATCTTCCCACTGCCCTGTGAGGCACAGTCGCTCCAGCTGGCACACCTGAGCCCCCAGGACATTGGCCAGGGCGCACACGCCCCCCACAGCTCCTGCACGAAGTAAGACGCAGAACATCAGCAAAGCCTCTCCCCTCTGAGCATCTCAAGCCCTGGTCCCAGCACCTCTTCAGCCTGGGGACATTACATACAGATTTCTATGTCACTTGACTGGCTACATCAAAGGCATGCTCTGTGAGTCCAGAGTACACATTTCCAGAGAGAAGAGCTGCCTGCATATTCAAAATAGAATCCTGCAGGTCGAGTGCTGCTCAGGGCTGATCTGTGAGGGGCAGGGAGCAGAGCCTGAAAGTGAACTCAAGGACAGTTCCTTCCCTGAACCCCTCCCGGAATAAAATCCCATCTGCCAGTTGACGCCTCCAGCTTCCTCCAATAGCCCCCTGACTCATCAGTCCTGTAAGAGGGTAGGATGGATGGGAAGCCTTTGCTCTTTTGAAATCTTATTCCCCCCAGTGGATGCAACCAGAGACAGCAGTGGGCGTGGAAAGCGCCCTGGACAGTCAGGTCACCAGGCATGTCTTCCCATTGACTGCATAAAGCTGAATGAGACCCTCTCTAGTCCTCTTTGTGCTCATCAGGGCAATGAAAATGGGTTTGGCTGTGATCTCAGAAAGCCCCATCACTTCTGCAAGCCTGTGAGTATGCTTCTAAGGCTAGATAGGAGTGGAACCCTAGGCACAGTGGCCTCAAGACCAGAGAGAGAGTAGGCAATTTAGAATGAGCTAATAGAGCTGTTGCTCGTGGAATACCTATTATGTGTTCCAGGCGCGCTTCAGCAGCATGGCCCTGATGCTCTCTAATCCTCATGATCCCTCCATGCACAGAGTAGAAACTCAGGCCCAGAGAGGTGAATGCCTTGCCCAGCATTACTCGGTGAATAAACTGCAGAACTGAGATTCCCTCCAACCTCCAGAGCCTGTGCTTTTTTTTTTTTTTTTTAATCTACTCCACTTTCAGGAATGAGAGAGAAATGATGGATCCCTTCTTCTTCCCCTTCACCGTAGAGGCCGTGACATGGCAGGGGGAGATGTACAAGGCCCTAGACAACCAGCCAAAGTCTGGAGACACCAGATGGAATAGGTACCAGCATTCTCCCCTGCAGTGCTAGAAAAGTCACTCAAATCTCTCCTCACTGGGGCTTCAGCTGAAAGGAACAGCTTCCCTTCTCCTCCCTCCCCTCCAGGGCTCAAATCTAACCCAAACCCAAGGATGCTGACCCTAAACAGACAAGAGCAGTTGATCTAAGAGACATTCATAGGGACCCTGGATTGGAACAGAATCTGATCAGGCAACTGAAGATCCCTGGCTCAACTCTGTAGATCTGACAATTCATTCTGGCCTGGGACAGGGGAGAGGAAAATGGACTCCTGAACTACAGAGGAGGGCCCCAAGGCCTCTGCCCTCAGAGAATGATGTAGAAGGTGGGATGAGACCAGCTAAGTTTGTCATCTAATCATGGAGCTCCGGACTTAGAACAAACTGCAGACATCCCTACTACAGGCCAGGGATTATACACGGCCATCCTCCTCCAGCCAACAAGGTTACTTACAGCACCCCACATTCAGACAGGCAAGCGGCATGGCCACGTTTCTGAGTTTTCAGAGTGGGCAGGTTGGCAAACCACCGTCTTCAGACACAGCCCCAGCCCTCACAGTCTCTCCCAGCAGACCCAGGTGCCTGGGTATGTCTTGGTCACCCATGACAATTTGAGAGCAGCGGGCGGCCTACCCAAGGCATAGCTGGCCATCAGGAAGCCAGCCGATCCAGCCAACACCTGGAAATCCTGCTTCCTGGTTTTGTGAACAATCAGCCCAATCCTGGTCACCTGCAACAGCAAATGTGGTATGAGAGCTGTGCCCAGAGCCTCATCCTGGGTGAGGGACTGGCAAGCGTGGTGGAATGAAAGCCCAGTGCCCAAAGAGATGCCCTCAAGGAAGCCCCAGAGAGCCCGCACGACAGAGAGAATCCACACGGAAGCCAAGGATGGAAACAGATCTCAGAGTTGCCCTCAGGAGCAAAAGTGCTAGGAACCAGGAACCAGAAAAGGAGGAGAGGACTACAGCCCTGGAGCTGCTGCCACTCACATCACCACCGCTGTCCTTCATGCCCACAATATTCGGGTGCTGGGAAAGCGTGACCACTGCATCCACAGGCAGGTCCAGCCCCGTGTTGGCTGGGACACTGTACAGCACCACAGGGATTGGAGAGAGATCAGCAACCTGTTGGGGCACAGAGAAAAGCAGGAGAGGGCAGCCGCCCCAGGTCCCAGGAGCCAGAGACTTGCCCACCCACAGATCCCAGCCTGCTTCACTCCAGGGCCACCTGTACAGGCCTCCCTCCTGTGCTGCGTGCCCCGAGTGTAAGCAATCACGGTGGGTCATATTTATGCAGTGCTTTCCATATGCCAGGCACTGTTCTAAGCCCTTTATGTTCCTGATCTCATTTAATGCTCACTGCAACCCTATGAGATAGATGACATCATTCCTCCAATTTTAGAGGGGAGGAAGCAGTAACACAGAGTGGTTAGGTAAGCCTCCCAATGTTGTGCAGCTGATCCATGGTGGCAGTCCATCCGTTTCCTATAGCTGCTGTTCATGCGAAGTAGCACCCCACTCCTAGCTTCCCTCCTCTCCTCTCCCTGGGCAGAGCCTCCTCTTGGTCTGAGGCCCCACACACACCTTGGTGTAGTGGTGAATGAGGGCCGCGCTGCTCATGCGGCCACGATAGTAGCAAGGGGTCACCACCATGGCCACGTCAGCCCCGACCTGGGCCATGCTGACGGTCATCTCCACTGTGGCTTGAGTGGCTGCCAGAGGAAGGAGAGAGGTGAGAGCAGGCAGAAGGAGGCCTGGACCAGGGCACTGGGCCAAGCGAGGGTGCCTCAGCATGTCCCAGAAGAGGCAGAACAAGGAGACAGGACCCAAGCTAGGGCCTAGGAGCCTGGATCCTACACACCCACCCACCCCCCAGGGCACAGGGCATTCTGGCTCACACTCGCATCCGGAGCCAGCTAGCAGGAGCTTGTTCTTGGGCATGGCCTGGCGCACACGGCTGACCACCTCGAGGCGCTCGCTGCTGGTCAGGAAGGGAAACTCGCCATTGGAGCCCTGGACCACGAAGCCTGCAAGAGACACAGCTGACTAACTCCTTCCCATCCTCTACAGAACAACCAGGACATTGGTGTTCCTACCTTCCAGCACCACAATCTTTCACACATTTCCTTCCCATCTTTGCAGGCAGAAGGTTCCCACACAGCTGCAATGACGGTTCACATCGTTTTTCTGTTTTAGACACAGGGTCTCGCTCTGTTGCCCAGGCTGGGATGCAGTGACTCAATTATAGCTTGCTGCAGCTTCAAACTTCTGGGCTCAAGTAATCCTTATATAATATGGTTATTACAATTTTAAGCCTTGTAGAAATGGAATTAAGCTTAAATAGCCCTCTGCAGTTTTCTGTTTATTTAATACTATGTTCTGAGCTTTGTCCATAGCAGCACACATAGCCCTGATTCATTCATTTTACCTGCTGTATGGTATTCTATTGTATAGTTAGAACACAATTTATTTTTCTTTCTCTTGTTGAGAGCACTTAGAATGTTTCCTTCTTTTTGGCTGGGCCTGGTGGCTCACACCCGTAATTTCAGCACTTTAGGAGGCCAAGGTGGGTAGATCATTTGAGCCCAGGAGTTCAAAACCAGCCAGGGGAGCATGGCTCCCTGTCTCTACCAAAAAAGAAAAAAGGAAAAAAGAATGTTTTCTTCTTTTTGCTATTACAAACAATGCTGAAACAAACATTTTCTGTAAAGTCTTTTGTGCATATGTCTAAGAGCTCCTCTAGGCCGGGCGTGGTGGCTCACGCCTGTAATCCCAGCACTTTGGGAGGCGAGGCGGGCGGATCACGAGGTCAGGAGATGGAGACCATGCTGGCTAACATAGTGAAACCCCGTCTCCACTAAAAAAATACAAAAAATTAGCCGGGCGTGGTGGCGGGTGCCTGTAGTCCCAGCTACTTGGGCGGCTGAGGCAGGAGAATGGCATGAACCTGGGAGGCGGAGCTTGCAGTTAGCCGAGATTGTGCCACTGCACTCCAGCCTGGGCAACAGAGCAAGACTCCATCTCAAAAAAAAAAAAAAAAAGAGTTCCTCTAGAGTTCAGATACTTTGGTGTGTAATTGCTGAGTCATATCTACGTGCACCTTCATCTGTGACACATTTTTTATGTATTTACTTTTTCTTTGAGGCAGGGTCTCACTCTGTCACCCAGGCTGGAGTACAGTGGCACAATCAAGGCTCACTGCAGCCTTGACCCCCCAGGTTCAAGTGATCCTCCTGTCTTAGCCTCTCAAGTAGCTAGGATTACAGACATGAGCTACCATGCCCAACTAATTTGTGTAGTTTTTTTTGTAGAGATGGGGCTTCACTATTTTGCCCAGGCTGGCTCGAATTCCTGGGCCCAGGTGATCCACCCACCTTGGCCTCCCAAAGTGCTGGGATTACAGATATGAGCCCCCACGCCTGACTGTGTGCCACATTGCTAATCAATCAGTGTAGCAGCATAGAATGTCGTACATGCCAAATCTTGGTGTTGTCAGAACTAATTTTTGCCAACTTTCTGGGTGAAAAGTGAATCTCCTTGCTTTATTTTGTGTTTTCCTGTTTTTATCAATCATTTACTTGGGATATGTCTAACCAGTAACCGGTACCAGTTACAGGTGAGCCATGGTGCCCAGTCCGCTTAACTTTCTCTTTCTTCTTCTTTCTCCTCTCTATCCCATTCCATTAAAGAAAAAAAAAATGGAAGTAGTTTACAAATACAGAGTACAATACAACAGGATTCTTAATTAATAGGATATTTGGGCCTGTAATCCCAGCACTTCAGGAGGCCAAGGTGGGAGGATCACTTGAGGTCAGGAGTTCGAGACCAGCCTGGGTAACAAAGTGAGACCCTGACTTTACAAAAAATAAATAAATAAATGAACCAGGTGCATTTGAAGCTGCAGTGAACTATGATTGCACCACTGTACTCCAGCCTGGGTGACAGAGCAAGACCCTGTCTCCAAAAAAAAAAAAAAAAAATTGGAGGCTATTTGGGAGAAGGAAATGAAAATAAGACCACAAGCAGTATTGGTATACAAAGTTCTTGCCATATAGTTCTGAGAAATGAGCCAGAAATTTGATGTGGAGTTTCCCGACAGCCAGAGCTACAAGGGGAACACGATCAGCTAACAGATATGTAGAACCCAAAAGATAAAAGCAAAGCAACTGCCCCGGAGAAACACAGAGTTTCCTGGCACTGGGACCAAGAGAAATTGTTCCTGTGAGTCATCCTTCAGGGGACACTGTGTGATGTAGACTCCACTTCGTTCCACCAACCTTTTTCCATGCTGTTCACTACACCATCAGATTCCAGAGTGAGTTGCCAGGATATCAGGATATCTCTCACTGGATATTTAGTTGCCTTCCCTTTTTTTTTTTTTTTGGTAGTTATTTTGCGTTGGTAACATTGCAGGAAACAGCTGGAGGCACACAGCTTCTCGCTTCTGTGGGATTGCTTCTGGGGGATTGATTTATCTGTGTCAGGCTAGTAGCCCAAGGTAGGGCCTCCTTGTGTCTTGCTACATGGAGCTGCAGTGCTCTCCGTAAAAGGTGCCAGCTCTGGATGAGGACTCCAATCTAGCTACAATTAGACCAGCACCCTCTGACCAAAGAGTCAGAGATCAAGCTCTTGCCACTCTCTCTGTTCCAATACCAAAGTCGTCTTCCTCCCCACCCCTGCCTGCCGTCCTGGGCTGGGGCATGTTCTTGCTGCGGCCACTGATTCAGCCACCATCATCCCCTTCCTTCACCTCTCATCCTGCTGGTCAGTTCCAGGGACACTCTGGGCCCCACTGGTGGAGCTGGTCTAAACAGCAGGACAGCTGGGGCTTGCACTCTGGGAGTCAGAAGCAGACCTTGTGCTCAAAGCTTCTATGACACAGCCCCGTCTTCTATCTCATTGAAGGGGGCAACTGGCTCATGCCTGACTCCCAAGAAGGAAGAAGTGCCTGGCTGGAGAAGAGGGAGTGTGGTGCAGACCGGGCAGCACTGGACTCAAGAGTCACCTCTGGCTATTGAACAAGTCAATCACATCTTTGAGTCTCTGTTTCCTTTTCTATGGGATGACAGGGAAATGATTTCAATCCTACCTTATAGGACTGTTTTAAAGGCTTAGATAAGAAAATGTCCCAGAAATCTGTGAGTGGGTACCCCAAAGAGCCCATCCTTCACCCTGGTTAGATGTCCAGGTGTGAGCCTGATGTGTCCCTATAGTGTAGAGAGGGGGCCAGAGGAGAGGAAAAGGCCAGGATCTCCGATGAACCAGGGACTGCGGAAAAAGCAGAAAAGCAGAGGGCTCACAGGAGAGGGGTCAGATGCACAGGCCCTGAAGTCAGAGAAGCCCAGGCTTACTCAGTTGAAAAATGGTGATGATATTAGTGCTTTTCTCAGAGTTTCGTTTTGTTTTGAGACAGAGTCTCACTCTGTTGCCCAGGCTGGAGTGTAATGGTGTGACCTTGGCTCACTGCAGCCTCTGTCTCCCAGGCTCAAACAATTCTCCTGCCTCAGCCTCCCGAGTAGCTGGGATTACAGGCACCCGCCACAATGCTGGCTAATTTTTGTATTTTTAGTAGAGACAGAGTTTCACCATGTTGGCCAGGCTGGTCTTGAACTCTGGGCCTCCGGTGATCCGCCTGCCTTGGCCTCCCAAAGTGCTGGGGATTACAGACATGAGCCATCACGCCCAGCCTCTTAGAGTTGTTTTGAAGTTTAAATGAGATAACTATTTGTTTTGTTTTGTTTCTTTTTTGAGATGGAGTCTTGCTCTGTCGCCCAGGCTGGAGTGCAGTGGCTGGATCTCAGCTCACTGCAAGCTCCGCCTCCCGGGTTTACGCCATTCTCCTGCCTCAGCCTCCCGAGTAGCTGGGACTACAGGCGCCCGCCACCTCGCCTGGCTAGTTTTTTGTATTTTTTAGTAGAGATGGAGTTTCACCGTGTTAGCCAGGATGGTCTCGATCTCCTGACCTCGTGATCCGCCCGTCTCGGCCTACCCAAAGTGCTGGGATTACAGGCTTGAGCCACCGCACCCGGCCATGAGATACTATTTGTAAAGTACTTCAAATAGAACCTGGTGCTCAATAAGTGTTAGCTGTCATTCTTATAGAATCAGGAGAAAGTGCTCAAACCTTAAATCAGGAGGGTGGCGGGTGCTGAAGGGGAGGCTGCTGTCAATGACCTCTCACTGTACACCCACTGTGATATCAGGAGTGGGTGTACAAGGCCCCCTCCAGCTGTAAGACGAAGGAAGATACTCTCCCCTGCCCCCACGTTTACACTTGCTGCTCTGGGAGCTGGATGGCAGGGAGGGGAGTGGGCATTTGGGGCTGGGGACACATAAGCAACATGGTGACTTACTGTGGCTAAAAAGAATCACATAAGAAGTGTCCCCAGACATTATTACGCCTTCTTGGTCCATCATCATTGCTACCTTCTCTGAGAAGTCTTCCTGGGATCTCTCCACTGGGCCTCCCTGCTCTGCATTTCCATTACCTGTTCCTTGTATAATATTTCCCCATGGACAGCACCCATCTACAAAGGTCCCCAGAACTCTTCAATCCCCCACCCCCGCCCCCACCTATGGGGTTAGACATAATTTCTCAATCTTACCTCTCTTATAAAATGAGAAATTGGGCTGGGCACAGTGGCTCACACCTGTAATCCCAGCACTTTGAGATGCCAAGAGGGGCAGACTGTTTGAGGCCAGGAGTTCGAGACCAGCCTGGCCAACATGGTGAAACCCCGTCTCTACTAAAAAACTTAAAAATTAGGCCAGGCATGGTGGCTCACACTTGCGATCCCAGCACTTTGGGAGGCCAAGGCAGGCGAATCACAAGGTCAGGAGTTTGAGATCAGCCTGGCCAACATGGTGAAACCCCGTCTCTACTAAAAATACAAAAATTAGCTGGGGGTGGTGTCGGGCATCTGTAATCCCAGCTACTTGGAAGGCTGAGGCAGAATCGCCTCAAGGAGAATCGCTTGAACCCAGGAGGCAAAGGTTGCAGTGAGCCGAGATTGCACTACTGCACTCT